ACGCTCAAGTTAGATGGGAAATATGATTTCTTAAGAAGAGTGTATGAAAGCTAATGTTTGATGTAACAACAAAACATAACACATGTAGTGTTTAATAATAATTACATATTTGAGATTAAACTCTTGATTTGCCCTAGATTATTACTCACCTTATGTAAGTAAGAATCATTGATATATCTTTCCTTGATTTGAATACAATATTTTGCAATAATTAGAATCTTCCACTTGTACACTATTATTTTGCAGTAAATTAGTATACTTACCGTCAGAACCTCAACTTTGAATTGTATTGATCATTTATAAAAGTGTAATTTCTTAGACTTATAACCAAGGTTGTAAAAGCTGGGAATTGGGTCTGGGGCGGTTAAGCACCGCCTCACGATTAATCGGTGCGACGACGGTGATTAAACGGCGATAAATTGGAAATAAATTGATTTTTAAATTTAATGTAATATACTTTTAGATATTCTTTATAAATACCCAAAACATATATAGAATTATATTTAAACATGATTTATCCCCATCGTTTATATATCATAATCACATAATAAAATTTTAATAATAATAAGATCATAATATAATAAAACTTCTTATAAAATAAAAATAAAATGAAAATCTTGTGCATCCAAAACTAAGCTTGACCATTGCAAGTATATATCATTAGATCCTTTAAAAACAAAAATTAGTATAAACAAAATTAAAAACACATAAACTCATTTTTGATAAAAAAAAAAAAAAAAAAAAATTTGACCGATTTTTTGACAAAGTTTGACCCGCCTTCAAGGTTTGACAGTCTACCTAAAACCTCATAAACCGCCTAACAGGCAAAAACCATTTTTTCAAACCCTTACACTAAAATCGTAAAGGTCTTAGACCGCCTACGCCTCGAAGACTGATTAATCGGCCACCTCGACCTATTTTTAAAACACTAATTATAACAGACAAACTTATGTTGGATAATACTTTGTGTGATTAGTAGTGCTAGCTAGTAACTAAAGTCTCGTTTGGTTTCCAAGATAAGATTAGCCAACATAAGATAATTCTCCCCATAAAATTTATAGGCTTAGGTCCCCTTTGGTTGGCAAGATTAACTAAATAGTAAGGTTTAAATTGATGTTTGGTTAGCCCTATTATTTTCCGGGTGACCGGCCAAAATAGTTTTGTCATGGCTTATGTTAGCTAATTGAGAGATAACTAAATGGACCTTGACTGGTCCAATGAAATTATTGTTCTATGATTAGATACCTTAATGACAAAATTATCCTTCTAACTTTCACCTATTTATCTCAATAATTTAAAAGAAATAATAATAAATATGAATTAATAAGAAATATAAAATAAAAATAAATAAAAATCAAAAAAAGAAAAAAAGAAAAATCGACAAAATTAAAGAAAAATTCGAAAAAATATTTATTTTCAAAAAAAAACTATTTTATGAGAAAAAATTGAAAAATAAAAAAAATTCCCGAAAAAAAATACTATTTTTTCGAAAAAAAAAGTTCGAAAAATGTTTTTTTAAAAATAAAATCGGAAAAGATAAAAACATACTTTTTTTCGAATCGTAAAATGAAATAAATATCGGAAAAACTGAAGAAAAAGAAATTCGGAAATAAAAAATTCTGAACAAAAATCAAAAAATAATAAAAACATATTTTTTTCGAAAAATAATTAAAAAAAAAATTGGAAAAAGAATCGAAAAAAAATTTTGATTTTTTGTTTTTTTTCAAAAAATATCGGAAAAACTGAAGAAGACAATAAATTCGAAAAACTAAAAATAAAATACTCTTTTCAAAAAAAATAAAAAATAACAAAATATAAATATTGAAAAGAAGAAGAAAAAAACAATGTGCAATAAGAATAGGTAATTCCATTTTTTTGAAGTAATTGGGTTGATGTTAATGAAATTAAACATCATACACCATTAAATAAATAATAGGGAGATAAAAAATTCAACATGTCATAACAAACATCTTATATCTTTAGTTGAGATCTTAATTGATTAATAAAGATTCTCGCTTCCTAGTCAATGTATGCATAGTTTTTGACAACCTATCGTAAAGATTGTATATTTGGGTCCCGTTTGGTTGGTAAGATAAAATTAGTTAAGATAAAATTAAATAATCTAGTAAAATCTAATTATTTTATTGGAGCTTGCAATGAATGTCCAACAAAAAAAATTCATTAGAATGCAAGATAAGCCATGATTATATAATTTTGGCGAGTCGACCCGACAATTTATTGGAAATACCAAACATCAAATTAAGTCCAACTATTTAGTTAATCATGATTTATTTTGACAACCAAACGGGGCATGCGTACTTTTTTTGTCATAGATTATATACATTGTATTCTTCATTCAAGTTACTAGGATTTTGAGTAGTGCATATAGTTATTGCAATGTTGTTTTAGCTCGTTTTCTTGAGATATTTCGTAAATTTCCCCAGAGTTATGAATTTGATAAATATTCCATCCATATACCAATTCCATTCATTTTTTTTAATTTGAAAATAAATAAAAAATCTTAATTAATGTTAGTTAACTAATTTTTGTCTAGTTCAAATCCTTCGATCAATTGCATTGTAATTGAAATAAAAGAAGAATTGATTCTCTCTTTTTTTTTTATCTAAACATTAGGTATAAACCACTTCTTCAATGTACTCGATTTAGCATACTAATTAATGAGATGGATCAATACTCAACCACCTATTTCAAGTTTCTACCATACTTTCTTTTCACCAAATTTTGTAGGCTTTAGCAACATTCATAAAGTTCAATTTACTTGCTACCTTATTTGTACATTTGGTGAGCATTACAAATGCAATTATTTATGAGAAGTAATTTGTTTTGTCCCCTAAAATACTTATTTTACCATTATATCATCTTAACTTCAATCCTACTTTCTTGTTTTTTGCAAAACTTGAATAGTTTATAAAATTCTAATTAAGGTTTCGATTTGGTTGGTAAACCGTAAAGGTGATAATGATTAATGAACTAATTCGATCTTATTTGATAATTTTTTTGGGCTATTTTGAGAAAATCCCGTCATTATTTTTTTTAATGGGAAGAGGCCCAAAATATTTTGCTCCATTTGAGAAAAGTCCATACCCATTTTCAGCTATTAGTTTTTCCAGTTCTGCCCTCGCCAGCCACATCATCATTGCATCAGCAGATATTTTTTTTATCAGTTTTATTAATCGACTATGAAGCACAATCGATTAAGGTAAAATAACTATAAAGCATAGTCGATTAAGGAAATTCTTTAAATTTTTTTTTTTTTTTTTTTAATTTTTTTTCTATACCAGGTATATTAATCGACTATGATGAATAACATAGTTAATAAAAAATCTGCTACTAAAAATAACAAATCACAACTGCAAAAAAATGCAAAATAAACTATATTTTAAAAAAAACAAAAAATGTACGAGCATTATAATTGCTTTATACAATTGGAATCAATAAACAAAAAATCCAAAAAAAAAAAAAAATGGAGTCGATCAACCTTAATCGACTACCAGAGCATAGTCGATTAACTTAATCGACTATTGAACATGTACATAGTCGATTAAGGTTCCAGCCTGCACGAATTTCTCTACCCGCGTCGTCCTCCGCCTGATCCGCCAAAAAATCCTAGATCTGCCTCCAATCGTCACCACACCGCAACCACACCACACTATTCAAACAATCCCTAACAAAAATAAAGTAAATAAAATAAACAATTCATACAAGAAAACACAAATTAGCATTTCGATGTAAAAAAAAAAAAAAAAAAACGATTTAAGGTATTTGTCAACCATTGTTGGTCACTCCATAAACAATTTCTAAATAGATGACAAAACCAACACTAAAAAAATAATAAAAATAAAGCAAACAAAAAAATAAAACAAAGAAATACCTTCATCAACAATTTCCGTTGATTCTCCTCCGACGACAAGTGATTCATCTTCTTTCTCAACAGCCTCTTCCTCTTCTTCTTTCTCCACACGCCGACGGGAGGAACATGCTGTTGAGAAAGAAGAGTGTTTCTCCTTCACAAGCCGACGACGAGTGCTTCCTCTTCTTTATTTCTCCATCTTCCGGCGGCGGCAGCAGCAGTGGGGAGAAGATTTGCCGGAGAAAACAGAGAAAAAAAGAAGAAAAAACAGAGCACAGAGAAGCTGCAAATGAGAAAGCGGAATGAAAAATAAAAAATAAGATTATGGTTTTGAAAGAGTATAATAGACAATTAAGGATAGTTTTAGAATTATGAATATATCACATCGGTGGAATATTAGGTAAGGGAGTTTTCTCTAATTATTTTTGGTAGGGGGTGTTTCCTTACCTATATTTGTTAGATGCAGGGTTTTCTCTAATTTTTCCAATTTTTTTAGTGAAAAAAAACTAAGCTACTATCTTAGTTTATTGAAAAATTGTGCAGTTCACTTACTCTAGTCCAATAACATTAGGATCGACTATTGAGTATGATTGCACAATTAGTTATGCAAGCGACGGCCTAACAGTTGGAACAAGTGACTCTGTGTTAATTAACCTAAATTCAAATCTCCTTGTCAGCGGCCGCTAGATGGAACTTGTCATACATGATTAGCCTAGTGTGAGTTATGTCTCTCGTATAATTTATAAACTATTATACAAGATTGTAGATTTATCCAATGCAACTATATAGTTGGTTCGGAGTTCATTACTTATAAAAAAATGTATAATTGCATAATTTACTTGACTAATCATATTTTAACAACCAATCATAGAGATTTATTTCAAAATTTGTCTAACGAAAATGTAAGAGAAGAACTAAAAAGGGATGACAATTGATCTATTTTCATATAGTCATGACAAAATCACATGTTCATGCAGACAATGTTAGACCCACCCATTATACCCATCCCACATGGAAGTGTGTGTGTGTGTGTGTGTGTGAGAGAGAGAGAGAGAGAGAGAGAAAGAGAGAGAGAGAGAGAGAGAGAGAGAGAGAGAGAGAGAGAAAGAGAAGAGAGAGAGAGAGAGAGAGAGGGCCTGCTGCCTCAAAGACCTGGCCCCCCTTCATCTTCCCCACTTCTCATTTGCTCATTATTATTAAAAAAATAATATATTTTCGCCTCAAATTTAATATTTTTTTTTTCTCTTATCATTTCTTGGTCTACACATGGACAATGGACCATACTTCCATTGAATAACTAACAATCCAAGCTCTTGTGGGCTGTCTTCATTTTCTTTTCTTAGTTTCTTGTTTGGCATTTTGCTAAGAGATTTTCTTCAACCCATTTTTTGTTCGAATCGCCCTTCTTTTTCGCTGTCATTGTGGATTTAGTTCAGTTTATTTTTTTCTGAGAGAACTGGTGTAAATTGCTTGCTCTGATTAAAAAGATTCGATTTTGTGATCTGGGGTTTCGTTTTTTTTCACTTTGATTGTCTAATTTTGAAGGGTTTTTCGCCAGATTCCTTGCATTTGATTTGTGGTGAATTTTGATCTAAATATCTGTGAATGTATATATATATGGAATGGGGATAAATTTATGTTAATTTTTGCTGCCACAAAAACCCTTGTGAAAATAAATAAATAAAATACCATTATCCAATTTTCGATTCCTCGGAGGTGGTGGTGACAGCTTATTACAGCCATTGTTTTGGATTCAATTTTGAGGAGGTGTGTTTTAGGGTTGATGAAAGTTGTGGTGTTTTTTGTGTAATTGTGTTTGAAGAAATTAAAAAAATGGCAGCAAAGCTTTTACATTCTTTAACAGATGATAATCCAGATTTGCAAAAGCAAATTGGATGTATGACCGGAATCTTTCAACTCTTCGATCGTCAAAATATGCTTACCGGTAGTAGGCGCATTGTCGGCCACACCCCCCAAAGGCTTCTTCCCGGTAACGATTTCTTATAGTAGTTGCGCCGTTTATCTATTTTTTCGATTTTGTTTATGGTGTTCTTCGATTATGTTTCTTTCGAGATTGTAACTATTCGTGTTATATCATAACCAATTGATGTATGTAATGGCCATTTTGTTTATTTATTTTTAAATTACTTGCAACTATAATCTTGATTCTTGAATCTTGATGCAGTGTTACATTTTTGTGAAATTGATCTTGATGAAAAGAGCAAATATCTTAGTGTGAGAAAATGTTAATTTTTTGCAGGAAATTCTCATTACGATGTCGGCACTTTGGAACGAGATTCAAGTAGTTCATACATAAGATCTTCATCACGGGTAAGAACACCCTCCGAGTTTTACATTTGAAAATTCTCTTGATCATGTAATAAGTTATCTTGTTAGGCTTCTCCGTACGAGGATGCGATTACATAGTTATGCAATTTACTACTATTTACAGGAAAAGTATCCACACAAGAATACGCAAAGAGTGTCGACCGAATCGTCAAGGGCTTCATTTTCATCTTCATCTCGTTCATCGTCTTTCTCCTCTCTCGACTGCAACAGAGCCACTCAACTAGAACCAGCTTCATTCGACCGGATGATATTTCCGGAAACGCCCTCAAGAGATCCAGCTATGACCCTCCAAAATTCGTCCACCCGACAATCAGTCGATCTTCGCGATTTCGTAAAGGACTCCATATACAAAGAAATTCACGGTTTATCCAACAAACACAAAACCAAAACAGAGGATGCCAATTACAGAGATTCTCCGAGGCTACGTTCGAAATATACCGATAATACCCCCGCTGCTTATCTCAAGGAACCTCGAGAACTTTTGAGATCTTCATCGTACCACGCGAAAGAAGGGTCTTCGTTTTCGGTTGTGAAAGATGCCCCTCGATTTTCCTACGATGGAAGGGAAATAAACCGAACGCGCTTCGATGGGTCGAATTCTGCCCTAAAGCTTAAGGACCTTCCACGCCTTTCTTTAGACAGTCGAGAGGGTTCTATGAGGAATAGTCTCGCTTCCGATTCTTCGAAACCCAACTCTTTCTTGAAAACCATGCAAAAAAAAGATAGTGTTGTTTTCAACGAAACACAAGCACGGCCACCGAGTGTGGTGGCGAAGCTCATGGGCTTGGAAACCCTACCCGAACACGTTTCCTCATCCAACGGCACGAATACGGGTTCGGGTTCGGGTCGGAGTTATCCGGATGAAGAATTCGTCAACAATTTAGGCTTGTTCGAGAAAATGGATGTTAACAAACCAATGCAAGTACCGATTTCTCCAAAGAACTCGAAGAAGGAGCCTAGTTCGCCGCGTTGGAGAAATTCCGACGGTTCGATGAAACCTATGCCTCGGTCTCCGATCGAACCAGCACCGTGGAAGGGTCCTGCCAAAAGTACGAGAAACCAAGCAAAGGGTCCCACCGCGTTTCCGTCGGTTTACAGTGAGATAGAGAAGAGGTTGAAAGATATCGAGTTCACTCAGTCGGGAAAGGATCTTAGAGCACTTAAACAGATACTCGAAGCCATGCAGGCTAAGGGACTCTTAGAAACCCCACAAGAGGGACAAGGTTCGAATTTCACGAGCCAAAAAGATCACGAGGAGAGAAATTTTCGAAAGCCACAAACCGGTCAAGTTCTTGCTTCGAGAAAAACGAAGGCTGTTTATGCTGAAACTTACGAGTCTCCAATTGTGATTATGAAACCTGCGAAGCTCGTCGGCAAATCTGGTATACCTGCTTCGTCGGTGATTTCGCTCGATGGTATATCCGGTCTGCCCAAATTACGGGGAAGTGGCGGAGCATCGAAAGATTCCATTGCCAAATCGAGTCAGAGAGACAATGCTCAAAGCTCTGTCAGTACGAAAAGTGATAGAACTTTAAGAACTGCACAAACTTCGACGAAATCTCAGCCGTTGATCAAAGAGGGCAGCAATCAAGGGTGGGGAAAGAGCTCAGGATCCATCAGTCCAAGAATGCAACAGAAGAAACTCGATCTTGAAAAAAGATCTCGGCCGCCCACTTCTCCCGATTCGAGCAAATTGAAAAGACAGACGAACAAGCAACAATCCGAGCCTTTGAATTCACCAGGTGGAAGAAGACGACCTAAAGCTCCGATCACTCAGCACAGTGACGACCAGGTGAGTGAGGTCAGCGCTGAGTCGGTCGAGATTGCTGACGTGGATAGTTACGAAAGGCCACCTGGCATAAGCAGCAATCGAAGTCCATCGAAGAAGGCTTCTCAATTCATGGTACTTTCTTTTCTTTATCCTTAGCCGATTGATTTTTTTGCTCTCCTCGTTTGCTAATATGTTTCATGGTTTATTTCCAGAAAACGACAACGACTTTAAGTGAAGAAGAGTCTGCAGAATTTGGTGTGGGCCCTACAGAGTACTCCAGTCCTGTATCGGTTCTTGACACTGTAGAGTATAACCAAGATTCTCCTGTGAAGTATGTCGGAAAGGCCCTTAAAGGTACATCCCGTATTTAATATACGACATTCTACGTACATAAAGTCTGTCTCTATATGTTTAATACAATGCTGTTATCATAGTACTATTAAAGAGATGCTTATACAAAATACTTTGATCCTTTTTTTTTTCTTACCATGAACTCAAATAAGCACGTAGAACGAGTCGTGTTTTGTTTTAATTTATCATCTTTACGATATATAGTACTAGACCAGGCATGGATTACGTTGCTAACTATCCACATTAGAAGAAACAAGAATGCATATAATAAATAATATATGGTGATATACAGCCTTTTATCATTTTGTATTTGTCTGTGTTTTTATACGTTTGTGTGTGTATAGTGTGTTTTTTATTTTATGATTTTGTGTGAGATTTTGTATTTTTGAATTAATTTATAATGTATCTTGAAAAATCTACATTAGAGCGTAATGGGTCCACGTAAAAATGATAATGGATCCGATTCAGATTGGGTCCACTTTGGATCCACTTATTTTGGTGCATTCTGGATCCGACCCGTTTCGGATCCGGTCCACGTGGACCCCGGTACAAGTTGGTCCAATTGCCACCTTCTAATGACATAACACGATTGTTTATTTAACCGTCACTTAATTTTGATTGTTTTATTTTCAGTGGATAGGAATTCGAACAAACTGGATAACAGCTTCAATGCCACTTCCACGGAATCGGGTTCGAAAAAATTCGAAAACAACAGAAAAAAGCTCCAAAACATAGAAAACTTAGTCCAAAAGCTGACACGCCTCAACTCGACCCACGACGAAGCACGTACAGATTACATAGCCTCGTTATGCGAGAACACAAATCCCGATCACCGATACATCTCCGAAATTCTGTTAGCCTCCGGCCTCCTCCTTCGAGACCTCTCCGATTTTCAGTTCCATCAATCCGGACACCCTATAAACCCGGAGCTCTTCTTAGTACTGGAACAAACTAAAGGAAGCACTTTGTCCAAGGAAGACCGAAGGACCAAAAAGTCAACTCAGTTAACCCTAAGAGAGAAGTTTCACAGGAAACTGATTTTCGACGCTGTTAACGAGATCCTCGCGAGGAAATTCGCCTCTGCGGCGGGCCCGCATTCCGAGCCGTTTTTCAGGCCATTTAAGGTAGTCAGAAAAGCATTGAATGCGCAGAAGCTTCTGAGGGAATTGTGCTCTGAGATCGAAGGGCTCGAGGCGAAAAAGAATCCGAAATGTGGCAGCTCGGACGAAGAAGATGGTGGATGGAAGAGCATTTTATGGACGGATGTGATGAATAGGTCCGAAAGCTGGGTGGATTTCGACGGTGAGATCGCGGGTCCCGTTCTTGATATCGAACGGTTGATATTTAAAGATTTGGTTGACGAGGTTGTGATCGGTGAGTCTGCGGGTTTGATTATTAAACCTGTTAGGCATAAGGTGTTTGTTGCCAAGTAGTTTTTGCTGTTTTAAATTTTATTTATTTATTTGTTTTTTTAAATTGCATTTTTCGTCTCTTCGTTTATTATATTTGTTGAGGTGTAATCTCGAATTTCGGAAACTGGAATGGCTTGGATTGTAAAGGAATTCCTTGTGGGTTCAGCAGAAAATGTCATATTTTACAGCTAATTAATTATTCAATAAATAATTTATACCATGGCATAGCTTTTGTTAGGAGATGTTTTTTTTTTTTGGTATCTATTAATGAATTCATTATTGTGTTGGGAATTTCCAACGCTACCCCCTCGGAAAGGTAAAATGACAAAAATGCCCCAGCGCAACAAAAAGATGATTATACCGAGCTTCAAAAGGTCCCTAGTTCACTCTTCGACTTCAAGGCGATGAACTTAATCGAGCTCATCTTGACCGCCTTCTTGATATGAATCCTATTTTTAAAGGCTCATTAGGTGGTGCAAGCGCCGAGCCTCGTGTTCTTTCTTCCGATGCTAAGAAAATCTTGACTGCCATTGTCCCCCCTTCTTCTCCTAAGCCTGCTGCTACGCTTGTTCCGTAATACCCCGGGTCCAGGCGTTTGGATATCCGAGTGAGTTTTTTTGGTATCAATATCACTAGGGCCGACCCGAAGAGGCCTGCGCCTTGGGCCTCCATTTTCTCTTGATTTTTAGGGGTCTCAAATTCATAAGGTCTTTGTGTATTTACTCCTTTTTCTTTAAATATTTCCTTTTGATAAAAGGGCCACCTAATGGATCTACTAGAACTTTTATCAGTTTACTATTGATCCATAAATTATGAAATCAACATAAATTGACAATAGTATATATTGGTTCATGCTTTTAAATCAATTAATTTATTTTCGAAAAAAAAAAACATTAATACAAATTTGACTTAACTAAACACAACTTTAGTACTAATTGTTACATAACAAATAAATATATATAAAAGTCTTAAAATTGCATTTTCGCCTCGGGCTTTCGAACTCTGGGACATGTCCTGAAATATCACTCCTTACTCGTGTTCTATCAATTATGCCTATGATCCCCTCGATTATAGGATGATGAGCAATACTACGGCAGCGATAAATATGAAGCTTTGCTCGGCTAAAAACCTATCGAGGAATATACAAATTCGCATTATCGATCAGGATCCGTGAAGTATGGCTCTACTTTTAGAAGTAGACGTCAAAGAAGTCACTAGACTTTGTAGTTTTTTATTTCGATTTTTCTTTTACATTCTTAAAACCACATTGTCGATGCAATTCTTTCGATCTTTTCGGTACCAAAAAAATAATTCTTTTTTATAATTCAATAATTCTTAGTTGGATTTGAAAATAAAAACTAGTAATAAATGACTTAATTAAGGTTATTTTAGAACGAAGGTGATTCTATTTTAGTATCACAAACGCATAAACCAATTGGCATAGAACAAATGGCAACCACCACATCTCTCCTACAAAAACTCAATCCACCACTCCATCCTCCCATCAAACCCCACCCCACCACCACCGCCGGCGCCGCCACCAGAAGATCATCCATAATTCTAACAGCCTCGTCAGCCATTCTCTTATACAGACAACTAACCATCTCCGCAAAACCCGCCAGCGCCTTCGATTTCAGTATGACAGTCCCCGACCAAACAGTCGAAGAAGCGGAGTCCGGGATACAATCCCACGCGCAGAGCCTGCTCGAAGTGAAGGATTTGTTAATGGCGGAGTCTTGGAAAGAAGCCCAGAAGCTGCTCCGCAGAAGCTCCGCATTGCTGAAACAGGACATCTACACCATTATACTGGCCAAGCCCGCCGCCGAGAGGCCCGGATTGAGGAAACTCTACTCCGATTTGTTCACTCGTGTGACGAGGCTGGATTACGCGGCTCGGGATAAGGATAGGATTAGTGTGTGGGAGTGTTATCGTGGGATTGTCTTATCCCTTGATGACATTTTGTCTAGAGTGTAAAAACAATTAACTCAACCACCAACTGTTTTTTTTTTTTTTTTTTTTTTTTTTTTTAATTATTACTAGAAAATATATTCTATATTTGATTGAATTGAGTAGGATCATATTATCCATGATAATGTAACATGTGATTGAATTATATTTGGGTAATATATCCTTGTGTAAGAATAGGATTGAGGTTGGACTCAATATGATTCATATGCTTGATTAAACTTCGGACCTGTTTTTAATCACGGGTTTCGACCTAAACCTCAAACATTTGCTACATTTCGATTATGTTGTTTCTCGAATGAGGCCTAAGGATGTATGACTAGATTTTTGCATTTCAATGGCGGTACTTTTAGAAAGAGAGTTTCGTAGTGCATATATACCTAATATTTTCATGACGGGTAAGACCTGAATTTTACGTTTTCTTGGTTATAAAACGCCTCTCGAAATGAATTACTTAGATCTCCTTGTGCTTCGTATAAAATTTTCTATGAAATTACAAAGGTCTAGTCTACGAAGAAAGAATCTACTAGACTTCAAAATCGTAAGTTCTTTTCGTTCCTTATTCATTCTCATGGGTATGATTGTCCCTGTTGATGCTTGCTGTAATAATTGCTCTCAGTCGAGATTGCTGACGTGGATAGTTCATAGTTGTGACATAACTCCAGCCCCGTCTCTGTTCTCAACACTGCAGAGTATAACCACGATTCTCCAGTAAAGTACGCCGGAAAGTCGCTTGAAGCTACATTCCTATAACTGATATTACACTTGTATTTATTTTTTGTTTCTACACATAATATATAGGAGTATTAGTCTCTCCAAATTGGTCCAAGTCTTATTCTGTAAGATGAAGAGAATGTTTTAATTATTGGCCTTTTTATACAATTTACTAGCGCGCATTTACTCTGGTGAAACGAATAGATAAACTTTGTACTCCATCTAATTTAAACTCTCTTTGATTGTTAATGGGATTCTTGCAAGAAAGTTCGCCTAATTTTAATGCCGTTTAAGCTAGCAAGATAAACCTTGAATGCACAGAACCTTCTGAGAGAATTATGCCCTGAGATTGAGGGGCTTCAGACAAAGAATCCAAAATGTAGTTACGATGAAGATGGTGGATAGAAAAGCATTTGGTGCACGGATTTGATAAATAAGTGTGGAAGCTGGATATATTTAGATGGTGAGATTGGGGTTCCCGTTCTTCACATCGAACGGTTGGTATATAAAGGATTTAATTGACGAGTGTGGTCGGCGAATCTGCTGGTTTGATAATACCAAGCCAGGTAGGCGTAAGTTTTTCGCTAAGATAGTATTTTTGGTCCAATGCAGGGCAAGGGGGCCATGGCCCCCCTCAATTTTGTTTTTTTAACTAATATATTATATATATATATATTTTTTCCTAAAAGTAAACTTGTAATACTTCTATATATGTATTTATATAATTTATTGCTTTTGTATTGTGCTCCTTTAACTTTTAATATTTTAGTTTTATATAAAAGTAAAAAGTATTTTTAACTAAACAAACAAGAAAAATAATAAATAGATCTAATAAGTAGAATAAGAAAGTTACAAATTGTGACTTCGAACCAGGGGCAAGTCTATTGGGAAAAATGAGTGTTTAAAAAATCCGTCGAGGCGGCCAATTAATCGATCTTCGAGGCGGAGGCAGTTAAAAACTTGATTTCTGTGTAAATGTTTGAAAATTCAATTTTTGTCTTCGAGGTGGTTTGAGGCGGTCCGAGGCAGGTCAAATTTTGATCGCAAAAATCAGTCAAAAATCTCTTTTTTTTGAAGTAAAAATAAAAAAAGAGTTGAGCTTTTAATAAAAAATAAAAAAAAACTTATGCTTTGTTTTAATTTGTTATGTTAATTTTTATTTTTAAAGGATTTAATGATATATGCTTGATATGTTCAAACATAATTTTGGTTGCACAAGATTTTCATTATATTTTTATTTTGTAAGAATTTTTATTATATTATGATCTTATTAGTATTAAAATTTTATTATGTATTATGATATATAATTGAAGGGATAAAATCATGTTTAAATATCATTTTATATATGTGAGTATTTACAAATAATATCTACATTATATTACATTAAATTTAAAAACCAATTTATTTTTAATTTATCGTCGATTAATCACCGCCGCACTGATTAATTGCGAGGCGGTGTCTAACCAACTCGAACTCGACTCCCGCTTTTTAGAACCTTGGGAAAAATGATAGACTCAAGGCCATCATCTATTGAAAAAAAACAAATCATTATATTACACCTATATATTATTAGGTTCACCCAATGTTTATTATTTTGTTTACCTAAAATTCAAATTATTGCTGAAAAAAATATTAATATTTTCTTTACCTAGCCTCTGATTTTTGGCAAAACAAAATACTAAAACAAAGTTCAGGGGCGCCCCCCTATCCCCCTGAATATAAACATTATCAATACCACAAGATACAATTGATACACGGTATTAAGCCAAATGTTTAGTAACTGTACCGAATCCACTCTCAGTTGTATTTGATCGAATATCTAAGAAGGTCATTTATTATGAGTTAACTTCAGTCTCTTATTGATAAGTGTTCATTTTACACGCTTTTTACTAGTCAATCCTCGAGTTTCGGATAGGGATGGCAATTAGGGGTGAGCAAAAAAACCGAAAAACCAAAAACCCGAACCAAAAAACCAAAAAATTGAGCCGTTTCAAATCGTATCGAATAGTAAACCGCATGTACGGTTTTTTATTTTTGAAATACCGAATTATTCGGTTCGGTATGGGGGAAAGGGTAATAACCGAACACTTCCTTTTAGTCAACATATTTATTTCCACTAGGGGATAGTGAACTAAATAAAATGCAATATAGACGGTTAATTGCTAATTATTTTAACATGTGAGCTTTTTTAACCATTAGAGATTACAATGTGGTATGTGCAAATAACTCCAAATATATATAGACAAATGTAGAATATAGTATTGAAATATGTTCTTTTCAAAAACAAAAATCAACTACAATTTTCTTCAATTGCAACTCATTGTTGCTCTCACTTTCTCCTACATCATTATAGGCCACAACTAAAGTCGTTAAACTTTTGCCAAAAATGTCAAGAAAGTAGCTGCTTTTGTTACTTATCTGAAAACGCGTTTCCCCACTGACAAATGGTATATCGAAATTTCTTCAGTACAGATGCCTATACACTAATTAAAAAATGGGCAAATTGCACGTTACCCCTTATAAATTTCTAATTTTTGCACTTTACCCCTCAAAATTTGGAAATGTGAATGCCATCTTCAAAATGTTATTCTTCTTGTACATTGCCCCGGTAGCAAAATTTCAATTGATTATTCACTGGAATTGAGTATTATATGTTATTTTTGTTATACCTTGTGCCTTAAAAATATTATTTTTCTGCACATTGCCCCTTTAAAATGTTATTTTTTTTTACACAATGCCCAACAAAAGTTTACTTTTGAGGCAAAATGCAACCAAAATAATATTTTGCAGGGGGAATTATTCAGTTTTTTAATTTTTAGGGGGAAAGTGCGAAAATAAAAAAATTATAGGGAGTGAAGTGTATTTTGTCCTTAAAAAATTAACATTGGCAAAACATACGCAGTTACAATATCTCAAAATAACAGAGCAAACAGAGCTGAGAAAAAAGAGAGATAAAAACATGGCTTACTCTGCTGTAAATTCTCTTCTTCAGACAACACAGCGCCTTCTAAAATCATCTCGTATTTCTATCGCTCCCAATTCCGTAAAAATCGCAGAATTTGTGTACGAGGAGGCTCATTCCTTACAACAAGTTCTCATAACATTGGATAGAAGCAGCACCAACAGAAACAAGGTTAAAGATTTGGATAAACAAATCAAAGATACAGTTTGTGAATTAGAAGATACACTCGAAGAAAGCCTTTTCGACGATCAGGATATTAATTCCTTAACCGAGATGGCGAAGAAGATGAAGGAATACACAGATGAACTGAAAAACCAGTTGCCTGAAGAAGAAGATGCTGTTTCGTCAAACACCTACGATATTAATTCCTCGACCGAAATGCTGTCGAAGATGATGGAGTGCACCAACAGTGACGTAAGCAACAAGCTGTGCGAAAAAGACGACGCTCTTTCTTCAAGAATCGGTAATTTTGGCGTATTATCCGATGAATTTAGCAAGATTAAAGATCTGCTCACAGATCATTTCTATTGGGAGATCAAAGTTGTTGCACTCTTCGGGATGGCGGGCATTGGCAAGACTTACTTTGCCAAGAAAATTTTCGAAGATCCATCGATTTCGAGTCGTTTCGATTGTCGTGCATTTGTCAATATAGGGCAGAAGTATGAATTGAAAGAAGTCATAAGAGCTATTCTAGCTCAATTGGATATTGAAAACGGTGGAATGTTTATCGAAAGAGATGATAAATTAGTCGAAGTTTTGTACGAAAGTTTGAAGGGTAGAGTTGGATGATGTGTGGGACCCACAGGTGTTCGATGATTTGATATGGTTATTTCCGGATTTTAATAGCGGAAGCAGAGTCTTGATAACAACTAGGATCGAAGAAGTAGCCAAGTCTTGCCTATTTTGGAAGGATTTGAGGGAGATATTTCCAAACGACCTTATTGGAACTGTGGTGAGTCAGACAGCTAAGCTAAAAGGCGAAGCGCAATACGGCTTGTATGGTTTTCGTGAGATGCGTTTACTGAGTAAAGAAGAAAGTTGGCATCTTCTTCGTGAGAAGGTGTTTGGCAAAGAAGGATTGTGCTCTTACAAACTCGAGAAAGCTGGTAAGAAGATTGCCGAGAAATGTGAGGGACTTCCTCTTACAATCGTGACAGTTGGCAAAGTCCTATTGGAAGCTGAGAACAAGACTTGGGAGTACTGGAACGAGGTTGCGGAGAAGCAAAACTCTGTTTTCGTGGATGCGTATGAACAAATGTATGAGGTACTATTTCGAAGCTACGAAAACTTACCCCAACATTTGAAATTGTGCTTTTTGTATATGGGAGTTTTCTTGGAAAAACACGAGATAATCCGATCAAAGCTAATCGATTTGTGGATAGCTGACGGGATTCTTGAATCGTACTTTTACGGTAGCGAATATTTGGAGAAGCTTGTTTCGAGTAGTGTTGCTATGGCTCTTAAACAAAGCTATAACGGTCAGACGAAAACTTGTAGCCTCCATTCTACCTTTTGGTACTTGTGTAACAAAGAAGCTGCGAAGAGCAAGTTTTTCTACGCCTTAAATAGTATTGACGATGCTTTAGAAGAAGGTGGTATAGAAAGTCAGCGCAGATTGTGCGTTCGCAATAACGTTTTATTCGGCATCAAAGATGTGTACGACTTTGTGGGGTCCATTTCTACGGTACGTTCTCTCCTATGTACTGGTCTGTATCATCAATTTCCGGTGCCAATATGTTTTGATTTGATATTGCTAAGGGTACTCGATGCTCTTACGATCCGTTTCTATGAGTTTCCATTAGAAGTAGTGAAATTAGTTCAACTAAGGTACCTTGCCCTCACTTCTAATGGAGAACTTCATTTTTCCATATCCAAGCTTTCGAGCCTTGAGTACTTGATTGTACATCGACATTTGGATATTGTAAAATCGGACAAGGATTCGTCGTATTTGCCTAAGGAGATATGGGATATGAAAGAATTGAAGTATCTTCACGTAATGGGAAGTGACATACCAAATCCCTGGGAAAAAGAATCTCTCTTACCAAACCTCGTAACACTCTTAGACGCAAGTCCTCAAAGTTGTACTAGAGCCGTTCTTGAAAGAATGCCTCGTCTTAAGAAACTAGGAATTCGAATCGAATCGGACGGACCCTTTAGCTTCTTCGATCATATTTCACATCTTCGTGAACTAAGATCACTCAAATGTGTAGTTGCAAATTGTTGGGTGCTAAATACCAACACGCAAGTGTACGTATCGCAAACAAGTAGTAAAGTAGACTCGTGAGAGTCGGATGTCGATCCCACAGGGAATACGCAAATTATTTAATCCTAAGTACCAAATCTTAACAATTACGATTTTTATCCAGCCTACGCAGGGTTGTCAATTTAATTAACTAAATAAATTAAACTAATTAAGAAAGCAAGTAATCACGAGAAAATATCAATATAAAACGGATCTAGGATTTTATCTTCCCCCTATGCGATAATTCTTCACCCAATTAATCTCCTATCATGCAAGTTACGATTCCCGATTATTAACCCAAGACACGAAATTATTCATAACCAGCTGTCGCTGCGTTATAAACCTATTATTCATAAAAGATTCACTATATGTCTATGCAAACCTAGTATAAATAAAGCATTAAATAACAAGTCTCGACAACGGCTACCTAAGGTATTATCTGTATGTCTACGATAATACATGCAATCAACACACACATTCGGTGAAAAACTACTCGAAGGCTCTTCTATCCCTGTTCTAATTATTAAAACGATCTGTCAATCAATTCTAACAATAACAAATAGCAACATAAATTAGCTACGTTCATGCGCTAAATAAGATCAAAATAGAAGAAATAATCGAAGAATTAAACTTGCATAAAAGTCGAAAAAGAGGTTCGAATTACCACATAGGGTTCCAATAAAATCCTAGAATAAAAACTTAGCTACTCATGTTCGTTACGAAAAACATAATAAAAATACGAAAAATCATAAAAGCTAATAAAAGAGGAGAACTGTGATGAAGAATCGTCAATTCTTCGTCTTCGTTCTTGTGCTCCTTGATTGCGTGTAGAAAGATGAAAGATAAAAACTAAAAATAAAGATAAAAGGTAAAAGATCCTTCTAATTGTGTGCTTTTGGCCTTTAAATAGGGTGCAAAACTATAATAGGGCGGGTTTCCTTGTGTAATTAAACTTCCTTCACTGCGCCTTCACGTCCACCCGGACGGCCGTGTGAGATTTAAGCTTAAAACCCGCACGGCCGCGCGGCCTTCTGTTCTTCAGAATTCTGATTATTTCACTTTTGGCCCACTTTTTCTCTGAATTTGCAGTTTTCACCCCAAAAGTTGCCAATTCTTCAATTTGCACCTAAAATACAAATAATAACCATATTAAGCACCAATTATCGTAAAAACACATCAAAAGCTCCAATTAAAAGGTACAATTAAGTGTATAAATATACACTTAACACACCCCCAAACTTGAACTTTTGCTTGTCCTCAAGTAAAATCAATGTAAGAACACAAAACACGACTATACATCTCATTACATAGATCGATTGGTCAACTTCGTGTTTTCAGAACTTGCAATTATGGTGATAATTCCTAGGCATTCGCAAGCTTAACATTCAACGGCACTTAGTCACTCACTATTACCAAAAACCACAAATCATACAATTGCTTCAAGTATCCAATATTTGCAAGTTAAAAATAGAGAAAATTTATACTTACATGCATATATTTGACTCCAAATACTCACCAAATTATTTTACTCAACTAATATTGAACAATAAGCTATTGGGATCATTGGGACTTTGTGGCTTTCAATTGTTAGGCTCTTTGGTCCGAGGTAGGTAATATGGGAATGTGTGGCTAATTTTCTTGAATTGAGGTGATTACGCCAAAATTTGAAAGCTAGGCGTTTGAAACAATAAATTCACCTCTAGGGACTTTAATAAACTCGACTCTCCAAAATTCACACGTCAACACTTTTGCCTTGAGGCAATGGATCGAGTTTTCAACACAATTCAACCACTAGTCCTTATTTCTCCCTTCTAATCTATTCTTCTTCTTCTTTTTCTTTTCTCTTTTTTTTTTTTTTTTTTTTTTTTTTTTTCGAATCGAATTTAGATATATATATATATAAAGATGCCCGTATATATATATCTATTTTTTTTTTTTTTTTTTTTTTTTTTTTTTTCGAAGAAGAAGAAAGATCTAATAAAACATTTCGACCGAACACCAAGGGATAATTATTCAAAAATCTCCACTTTTCCACCTTCTACATATTGGCTAAAAGAAAGAACACCTTTTTTCTCCGAGGCTCAAATCAAGGTTCTAAGGATAAAAATTTAAAGGTAGGCTTGAAAGGCTCAAACGGTTCAAAGAATGCCCAAATCATATCCCAAATCACTTACTACCCAACACTTCGTTTCATAAATGTCCTAAGGTGAGATTTAAAACCGAACAAAGCATGATTGAGCACAAATAAATTCCAAATTTAAAATGCAAAACATTCAACCAAAGCAATGCACAAGGTATGATTCCTAGCAATAATTCACTTCTACGTTCCGTTGAATCGAAAGCTAAACAAATATCTACTCCTTAAAGCATAAAACAAGTAATCTCATCATCAAACATTGACCATCTCCCATCATCATAATTCATCGATGCATCAAACCAAATTTTTTTTTTTTTTTTTTTTTTTTTCAAAGCAAATAAAAAAAAAACGGAAAAATTAAAACACGCAAAAGAAGCATGCAAACTAAAAAAAAATTAAAACACAAATAAAGCGCACATAAACGAAAACAAGTAATTAACCACCCCCAAACATAAAATTCACATTGCCCTCAATGTGATTCGCCCGGAGTTTAAGGATAGAAAACACCTGTTTAAGCGTCGGGACCATCGTCGGGTTGCTCACCAACTCCACCATGTGCATGAGCATTATCCTCCTCGTCATCCTCCAATAGCTCGGGTACCGGCTCAATAATCGGTGCGGGAAAAATCGTCGAACACATTGTGGGCGTTCTTGGTGGAATGGGTTTTTCGAGAAAATTTCACCGTTCTTGAATCTCCCTGCGCAAATCAACAACAAACCCCCTTGATTACGTATTATACGTGTGTAGTTGGTAAATTTTCGGTGAAATTTGTCAAAGAAAAGGGAAAATTTCGAAAAAGGAAGGCGAGGGTTCGAAGTGGGGGAGAGAGGGGATTTGAAATTATGGAAATTGCTTTTTTTTTTTTTTTTTTTTTTTTTTTTTTTTTTTCCCGCACGGCCGTGCGAAAGTATGGCCTAAAATCCGCACGGCCGTGCCATTTGGTGAATTTGGGCAGTAGCCCTTCTTAATTTAGGACGGCCGTGCGAAATTATGGCCTAAAATCCGCACGGCCGTGCCATTTGGTGAATTTGGGCAGTAGCTTCCCCGAAATCTCACACGGCCGTGTGAGATTTCTGCCTCTTTCTTGCACGGCCGTGTGAATAATTGCAATTGGGTCCCTGAAAAATAAAAACTTCTAATTAGTGCCCAGAAACTTTTTTTTTTTTTTTTTTTGAAAAATAAAATAAAATGAAAGCAAAACTAAAAATTTAAAATAACATAAAATAAATAAAATAAAAAACGAAAGCTCGGGTTGCCTCCCGAGAAGCGCTAAGTTTACAGTCTTCAGCCGGACTTTGTCTGCTTCTTTGTTCAAGCTAACGTGACCGAAGTCACTTGGCGATTGAATTCCTCTCCCCAATAATGCTCGTTTGGTTCTTTAGGTGGCCACATCCACCTTGCACGTTCGTCATTGTTATCACCCCAACTTTTTTGACTGTCTCTCGGCGGAGTTGAAATTGAGCTCGTACAATAAACTTGCTCCGTCCGACTATCTTTTCCGCCACCATCTCCTGCACTCAAAGATCCTTTCCCATGGTCTAAGATCAAAACGTCAAAATCGTCATGATTTGTAAAATCCACAAGATCAATAGCATAACAATCATCATTATCACATGGATTTTTATTAGCGCTAAAAACGTTAAAAGTGACCGTTTGATCATGCACCGTCATTGTAAGATCACCACTAGCACAATCAATCAGAGTTTTCGACGTGGCTAAAAACGGTCTACCAAAAATAAGAGGTATCTCCCTATCTTCATCTATATCAAGTATAACGAAATCAACAGGGAAGATAAATTTGTTCACTTTTACTAGCACATTCTCTAAAATACCTTTTGGGTAAACTAAAGACCTATCGGCTAATTGAAGAGTTATAGCCGTCGGTTCAATCTCACCTAACCCAAGATTTTTGTAAGTGGAATAAGGCATAAGATTAATGCTAGCACCTAAATCAATGAGTGACCTAAAATTCTTACCTCCAATAGTGCAAGGGATAGTGAACTTACCTGGATCGCCGAGTTTTTGTGGAAGGGGCCGTATAAGAATTTCACTGCATTGCTCCGTGAGTTGGATGATCTCGTTCCCTTGCAATTTATTCCTCTTTGTCACGAGCTCCTTGAGGAATTTCACCCACTTTGGCATCTTTTGAATGGCTTCGATAAACGGAATGTTGATGTGGATTTCTTTCAGCTTGTCCAAGAATCCTTGGTGCTCGGCATCGAGTTTCTTCTTTTGAAGCTTTTGAGGATATGGGACTTGAGGAACTCGTGAGATCACTGTGGGAGATGGCGGTTCCTTGCGATTTGCTTCTTTTTCCTCAATCACATTCGGCTTCTCGATTACCGTGTTTTGCTTCTCCTTTCGTGGGGTTTCCTCCAATTGTCTCCCGTTCCTTAAACTTACAGCGTTGCACTGCTCGATGTTGTTCTTCCGAGGATCTTCCGTGTTTGATGGCAATGCTCCCGATGGCCTCGCTGTTAGTTGGGTTGCAAGTTGACCCATCTGTGTTTCCAAATTTCGGATAGAGGCTTGGGTGGTTGTCATAAATTGCGCCAAAATATTTGCGAGATCTCCACCTTGAGGTTGAGCTTGAGGCGGATTTTGGAATCCGGGAGCTGGTCGTGAATAGTTAGGCGGTTGACCTTGAGGTGGTGCTTGCCTTTGCCCTTGCTGGTTTCCTCCCCACCCAAAGTTAGGGTGATCCTTCCATCCCGGATTATATGTGTTGGAGTACGGGTTCCTCTGTTGTCGGTTGGTGTCATGCACATAATTCAGAGACTCCGTTTCTTCTACGCGCTGGTCGGGAGCTTGGATTGCGTGGACTTGCTGAGTCTGCAAAGCCGCTACTTGCTTCGATAGCTTCTCCAATTGGGCCGTGATTGCGGTGACTCCATCTAACTCCAAAATTCCTCCCGTCTTGACTGCTCCGCTATTCGACCGGTCCGATGCTCGCATGTATTTATTTCTAGCGATTCGTTCCAAGAGCTCGTATGCTTCGTCGTAAGTCAAACTCATGAACATACCTCCAGCTGCAGAGTCGAGCACTGTCCTCGAGTTGTCTTGCAGTCCATCGTAAAATATTTGCAGTTGGCGCCACTCTTGTAGTCCGTGATTCGGGCACCTCCTTACTAACTGTTTGAACCGCTCCCACGTCTCGAATAATGCTTCACCGGCTTCTTGAATGAAGTTTTGAATTTCTCGCCGGATTCTCTCAGTTTTTGCTGGGGAGTTGTATGTGTTCATGAAAAGTTGAGCTAGCTGGGCCCACGACGATATGGAGTGCGGTGCACGAGTTTGCAACCATTCTCGGGCTGCTCCTTGTAGGGAGTGCTTGAACAGGCGGAGTTGAAGTGCTTCGGGTGTTACTCCGTTCATCTTGTGCGAGTCACACGTTTCGAGAAAGTTGACCAAGTGAAGATGTGGATCTTCATGAGCCAATCCGCTGAATAGACCATTGTTTTGGAGCATCGTGAGGAGTCCCGCTCGAATCTCGAAATTGTTGGCTTCAATGGGGGGCTGCTGGATGCTTGATTGGAACCCATTGAGTGTCGGGACGGTGTACTCATGCAGTGCTCGTTGACGCGGTGGTGGATTAATTAGCTGGCGCTGCTCTTGCTCGTTGACGATTTCTCTCGCTACATTCGGCGGGTGCCTTTGGTCACCTTCCCCACGGTTAATCTCTTCTTCCATTGTTGCGGGAGCGTTTTGAGCTAACCTTTGATTTCTCCTGGCTTGCCTAAACGTTCGCTCAATTTCGGGATCGAGAGGTAACAAGCTCGTATCGTGTCCTCTTCGCATAAAAAGTACCTAAAAAAAATAAAAAAAAATAATTAAATAAAATAAAAAAAATTGGCTGAAGTAAGAAAAATTGCTCAAATTTAATATTAGGATAAATAAATAATTTAGCCGTATTCCCCGGCAACGGCGCCAAAAACTTGTTGGGTGCTAAATACCAACACGCAAGTGTACGTATCGCAAACAAGTAGTAAAGTAGACTCGTGAGAGTCGGATGTCGATCCCACAGGGAATACGCAAATTATTTAATCCTAAGTACCAAATCTTAACAATTACGATTTTTATCCAGCCTACGCAGGGTTGTCAATTTAATTAACTAAATAAATTAAACTAATTAAGAAAGCAAGTAATCACGAGAAAATATCAATATAAAACGGATCTAGGATTTTATCTTCCCCCTATGCGATAATTCTTCACCCAATTAATCTCCTATCATGCAAGTTACGATTCCCGATTATTAACCCAAGACACGAAATTATTCATAACCAGCTGTCGCTGCGTTATAAACCTATTATTCATAAAAGATTCACTATATGTCTATGCAAACCTAGTATAAATAAAGCATTAAATAACAAGTCTCGACAACGGCTACCTAAGGTATTATCTGTATGTCTACGATAATACATGCAATCAACACACACATTCGGTGAAAAACTACTCGAAGGCTCTTCTATCCCTGTTCTAATTATTAAAACGATCTGTCAATCAATTCTAACAATAACAAATAGCAACATAAATTAGCTACGTTCATGCGCTAAATAAGATCAAAATAGAAGAAATAATCGAAGAATTAAACTTGCATAAAAGTCGAAAAAGAGGTTCGAATTACCACATAGGGTTCCATTAAAATCCTAGAATAAAAACTTAGCTACTCATGTTCGTTACGAAAAACATAATAAAAATACGAAAAATCATAAAAGCTAATAAAAGAGGAGAACTGTGATGAAGAATCGTCAATTCTTCGTCTTCGTTCTTGTGCTCCTTGATTGCGTGTAGAAAGATGAAAGATAAAAACTAAAAATAAAGATAAAAGGTAAAAGATCCTTCTAATTGTGTGCTTTTGGCCTTTAAATAGGGTGCAAAACTATAATAGGGCGGGTTTCCTTGTGTAATTAAACTTCCTTCACTGCGCCTTCACGTCCACCCGGACGGCCGTGTGAGATTTAAGCTTAAAACCCGCACGGCCGCGCGGCCTTCTGTTCTTCAGAATTCTGATTATTTCACTTTTGGCCCACTTTTTCTCTGAATTTGCAGTTTTCACCCCAAAAGTTGCCAATTCTTCAATTTGCACCTAAAATACAAATAATAACCATATTAAGCACCAATTATCGTAAAAACACATCAAAATCTCCAATTAAAAGGTACAATTAAGTGTATAAATATACACTTAACACAAATCCCTTTCTAGAATCGAATCGGACGAGTCTTTTAGCTCCCCTTTCGATCTTTTCATCGTGTCTTAAAAAGTTATCGATGAGTGGCTTTGGATATTCTTGGGAAGAGATGAAGACGATTGGTTTGCTGCCGAATCTTGAAGTGTTGAAATTGAGATGCTACGCCTTTCGAGGGGTAAAATGGGAAACTCGCAAAGACGGATTTGCGAAGCTTAAATTTCTTTCGATTGAAGACACTGATCTGGTGCAGTGGACCGTCGAACGTGGGAGTTTACCGTTGCTGCAGTTCTTGAGCATTAAGCACTGCTACAAACTGAAAGAGATCCCTCGGGTAATTTTATCAACTCTTAGAAAGATTGAATTAGTTGATTGCAGCAGTTTGGTTGTGAGGTGTGCAAAGGGAATAACAGAGGAGCTTCTGGAGAAAAGATATGACCTTCTTGAAATTAATGTCCTTTCTTCATGGGATGATGTAAAGGTGTAAGTTGTAACCAAGAATGAAGTTGTTCACTGCAGCAACTTAGTTTTTTTTTTTTTTTTTCTTTCTTTCTTTTTTGGTGTTTGTTTTTATGTCTTGGCCTAAATACATTTTTTTCTTAATGGTTGGATTGATATGATGTATTTAAGTAATTATGGTTGATGTTCATTGCTAGTTCCTGCATAGATATATGAGATCATGTTTATAAATGAAAGGGCAAATTACGAGAAATCTCCGAAGGTAAGGTCTAATTATGAAAATTCTCATCATATTGGTGTAATTATAAAAATTTCCCTGGTGTATATTACCGACTTACAGAGTCTTCTATGGTGTTATTTTGAACATAAACTTTTTGATTTCATGCAATATTCCTCTCGAAATGTCATTTTTGTCCTTGAGCATGTGTCACTACTATTCAGATGAGGTACTTGTGAGCATATTAATTACTTAGGGGGAAATTGTAATATTTTTAGAAAATGTGGTTATTTTTAGGGTAAATTATGAAAACCCCTGGACTTAGCTAAATTACAAAAAAAAAAAAAAAAAAACCCACCTATTCGTAATTATCAAAATTCCTTCGACGTTTGTTTCCATCTTTCACCGACCCCCTTGGCCTTTGCGGTGTGATTTTTCACGGATTTTTTTTTGATTTCAAGGAATATTTCTCGAAAAATGCCGATTCTACCCCTATTGATGTGACATTTATTTATGCTACTTTTTAAAAGCAAAAATTACCCTTAGGGGGCCTTGACACGGAATCTTTATTCTTATTAATAACATAAAGAATTGGCATTTTCGTAATTAGACCTTACTCAGGGGGGTTCTCGTAATTTATCGTTTATTTTTTTTTTAAATAACTGAAGGGTGAAACGGACAAAACATATTTTATGTGAATTTAGATGGTCAAACATTGGTCCGAGGGGGATTTTTCGTTATTACACAATCATCGATGAGATTTTCGTAATTTGACTTTACCTCAAGTAGTTTCTCGTAATTTGTCCTATATAAAATGAGAAAGAAAAGTGAATTGAGTGTGAGCCCATGGATACAGTTAGCGGTGGAAATCGGAACACAATTGACCTTCCGCCCTCAGCCTCTAGTTCAACCATATCCCCCTTCCGCCCGAGCACCTCAATATTTTCTCGAAGAAATTCGATTCGGTTTAGAGCTTTCCCTCACACGTTTCCGCCCATTTATTGGAGCGTTTTCATCACACCAAATCAAGAGCAGGTTGAAGACAGATGTGGTGGTGGTGGTGCGGCGGAAGGTGGGTGAGAATTTAATTTGGGAGTTTGGTGGTCTGGGAGAGTGCAGGGGCTGAAGATGGTTTTTTTTTTTTTTTTTTTTTTTGTTTTCTCATCTTTCCTATAATATTTATGAAACAAAATTCATTTTCTTTAAATTGAAATATTGTTTAATATTTAGAGATGTGCGATTTTACTCTCAAAATATCTTATTTCACCATCAAAATATTTAGAGATATGCTTCTTCTTCTTCTTCTTCTTCTTTCACCTAATTTTTTTTATAAATTTATAAACCATATAGCACTAAACTAATTAAAATATTTATAAAAAATTCCACGCTTTCAATGAAAATCTCACCCTCTCCACCTTAAGCGAATAATATTTTCGTCAGAGAAAAACATTTTCGAAGGTCAAAAAGAGCAGGAATTCACGTTTTTTGAGAAATAAATTAATTACTTATATAGAAAGTCCTGAACTTCCTCCAAAATTGGTCAGTTTGGCTTAATATAATTTTGTTTCCTAAAAATAATAATTATATAATATGTTGGTCATATATGAAACTTTAAATATCATGTACTAATTATTTCATTGTAAAAAATAATAATAAAATAATAAAAAAATTATAAAATTCATAAAATAAAATAAAATAGAAATAACTTAGAATACATGATGATTAAGTGAATATAAGAAAGGGTGGTGGATTATACATTTAAGGTGTATTTATGACATTTTATAGTCTTTGGTGGTGAATTGACATAATTTAGAGGTGAAAATAGCACCACTTAATATTTAGGAATTTTTGTGCATAAGTTCCCAACAAAATATCTTTATTATTCTAGGTTTAGGGGTTATATCTCTTTCACCAATAAGCTCATCCATTTAATATTAATTATAAATAAAAGGAAACATTCATGTATATGACAATATTACTCTCAACCCTTTATACACAATTCTTAATTGTAACCCCAATTTAATCAATTTTGTCCACAAAAATTCAATTTTGACCACAAAAATCTAATTTTGACAACAAAAATTCAATTTTGACTTTTTTTTTTCAAATTTTTTTTTGCCGCCTGATTCCAGCGTTGACTTTTCGATTTTTTTTTGTTTTTTTTTTCTGGTCTGTTTTTTTTTCCGCCACCGGTCTCCGGCATTGACTTTTTTTTTTTCTTTTTTCTTTTTTTTTTTTTCTTTTTTACGTCTGCAGCTAAACGTCGACCGTAATTGTGATGTCACTGACAGTAAATTAACGTAATCATACTGTCAATGACAGTTAATTAACGTAATTGTACTGCCGTTAACGCAATATTATTATTATTATTTTTATATTTTGTTATTTTTTTTTATTTTGTTTGATTTGTTGATAAGTCAACGTAATTATATTACTGTCGTTGACTGTAAAATAACTGTAAACACAATAATATTACTGTCAACAACATCAATATTATTATTTTTTTGGGTTTTTTGTTTTGTTTGAGTTATTCACGGAGTAACGTAATAATATTACTGTATATTATTGTAATATTACTGTAAACACAATAATATTACTGTAGTTGACGGTAATATTACTGTTGTTATAGTAATATTGTTGTCAACCACATCAATATTATTATTTTGTTTGCATTTTTTTGTTTGTTTGAGTTATTCACGGAGTAACGTGTTAATATTACTATCTATTATTGCAATATTACTGTGGTTGACGGTAATATTACTGTTGTTATAGTAATATTACTGTCACTCACAGTAATATTAATTCTTTTGGCTTTTTATTATGTTTACATTTGTTGAACAGTCAACATATTAATATTACTCTATTACACAATAATAATGAGTTTTGTTGTGTTAATATTATTGTGCTAGAGATTAATATAGCAATATTGTTGTGTTAAACTGTAGTTTAGTTAATTTTACTGTGTTTAACAGTAATATAGTTAATATTACTGTCAATCATAGCAATATTGCTGTTTAAACGAAAAAAATGTTACAGAAAAAGAAAAAAAAAAAGTCGACGCCGGAAACCGGCGAAAAAATCCGGAAGAATTTTTATTTTTTTTGAAAAGTTAACGCCGGAATTCGGCGGCACAAAATTTTTTTTTGAAAAAAAAAAATTGGGTCAAAATTGTATAATTTGCGAAATTTGGGGTCAAATTGAGGTTAAATTAAATTAAGGATGCAATTGGAGCATATTAAAGTATGAGGGGCTATCTTTTACAAAAATTTGGATCATATGTAGACTTATTTGTAAAGAAATTTTTTGTCAGGATTTCTTTATGAATAAGTACCCATTGATGGGCTTATTTGTAATGACCCATAATATTTATTAGGACAGTTTTGTCATTTCACGAAAGTCAACATATAATTTTGAAGTAAGGGACGGATTGTCTTGCAAAACACAACAGATGGGGACATTTTTGGTATTAGAAATTAAACAGAGGTGGTAGTTGGTAGTTGGTGCTAAAAACACGTTGACTTATAACTTCATCTCTGCAAGTCAGCTTATGCATCTGTTCCAGTTCAGTGAAAGAAAGAAGATCAGAGGCTCAGCTCAAATCTACTCTGCCGTGAGCTTATGAACAATCTAAATTTTTATTTGAATTTCTTGTTCACTCTATCCGCAACTTAAGAATTCAGAAATCCATGTAACACAAATTTCGCAATTAACAAACAAGCTGCTGTACTCTGATTTCTCTGACGCAGAAAATCTAGTTGAAATCTGTGCGAGATCGATCCGCCCGATCGATCGAGAAGGAGCGAAAGAGATGGCTTACGCTGCTGTGATTTCTCTCACATACACAATCGAGCGCCTTATCAAACATTCTCGTGTTTCAATTGTTCCGAAGCCCTCTATGCAGCTTGTATTATTCCTACACGATCAGCTTCGTGCCCTAAAAGCAGTTCTCCGGAAATTGGATTACAGCAGCAGCGGCGGCAGCATCATCGACACGAAGATGGTGGACGCTTTGGATGTAGAAATCGGAGAGGCGGTTTGTGAATTGGAAGACGTAATTGAATCCCACGTATTAAATCAGTTCCTTTCACAATCCGATGAAAACGAGACCCGTTCGTTCATTGTCGACTTGCAGGAACTAAAGCAAGACGTCGATTCCTTTGCTCAAACCGTAAACAAGTTGAAGAAGGCCTACATTCAAGAGATGACAGTCTAATCCCGTCAGGAATTGATTGTTTTGGAGAAGACGAGTCGGAAATGGTTGGGTTATCCGATCGATATATGACAATCAAAGATCGGATTACGAACAAGTTGTCGCCATCTGCACGGATGGCTGTCTCGCTTAGGGGGATGGCTGGCATTGGTAAGACTGCTATTGCCAAGAAACTCTTTTTAGATCCGTTAATTTCGACCCATTTCGATAGAAGGGCGTTTGTGACGATAGGCCCAAAAGGTCAATTTGAAGATGTCTTGTTGGATATTCTAAAACAAGTGAATCGTGGAGTTGACGAAAATATAGTGCTTATGAAAGGAGAAGGAAAATTAAATGGCTTGAAAAGGATGGTGCAAGGCCGCCTAACCGAAAGCAGATACTTTATCGTGTTGGATGATGTATGGGTGATGGAGCTCTTGTATCAGCTGGTCGACTTATTTCCAGACAACAATAATGGAAGTAAAATATTGCTGACGACTAGGCTGGAACAAGTGGCAGAAATTGCAAACGAGCATTGTAGGTACGACATAAGGTTCTTGGATAAAAGAGAAAGTTGGGATCTTCTTCGTCACAAGGTGTTCGATGAAATGCCTTGCCCTATCGAGCTTGAGAGAGCTGGAAAGAAGATTGCCGAGAATTGTGAAGGTCTTCCTCTTTTGATTGTAACGGTTGCCGAATTTCTTTCCAGAGCTGAAAAGACGAGGGAGTATTGGAACATGGTGGCTAACGATAAACAAAATTCGGTTTTCGTGGGTGCTTATGATCAAATGTCAAAGGTATTATATCCAAGTTACAACTACTTACCTCAACATTTAAAGCCCTGCTTTCTCTACATGGCAGTTTTCCCTCAAAATTATAAGATCCCTCGATCAAAGCTCTTCAATTTTTGGATAGTGGAGGGGTTTCTTGAATTGGCCTGTTCTCCGGACTATTCGGCTAATCAATTTTTTGAGAGCCTTGTTTCTTGTAGTCTTGTCTTGGTCCACAAGTGGAGCGGTGTCATGAAAACTTGTAGCCTCCATTCTTCCTTTTGGTACCTCTGTAATCAAGAAGCCCGTAAGAGCAAGTTTTTCCATGGCTTAAAGAGTCTCGACGATGGTTTAGCAGAAGAAAGTTTAGAAAGTCAACGCCGATTGTGCATTCGCAATAATGTCTTGTTCGGAATCAAAGATGTGTTCGACTCAATGGCATCTGTTTCAATGGTACGCTCTGTCCTATGTACAGGTCCATATCATCAATATCCAGTACCGATATATTTAGGTTTGAAGTTGCTAAAGATACTCGATGCCCTTACAATTCGTTTGTACGAATTTCCAATTGAAGTACTTAATCAAGTTCAACTGACGTACCTTGCTATTACATTCAACGGAAAGGTTCCCTCTTCCATATCCAAACTATGGAACCTCGAGTACTTGATTGTTAATCGACATCTGAGCATCGTAAAGTCCGACGATGGAAATTCGTCTTATCTGCCTACAGAGATATGGGATATGAAAGAATTGAAGCATCTTCAAGTCATGGGTAGCAACCTACCAAAACCTCGTGAAGGTTCTTTCTTACCGAACCTCTCAACACTCTTAAATGTGAGTGCTCGAAGTTGTACTAAAGACGTTCTTGAAAGAATTCCAAATCTACAAAAATTAGGATTCCGAAACGAAGTGGCTCCTGATAATAATGCTGATCAACCCTTGAGGTTTTTTGATTGTGTTTCCGATCTCCGTGAACTGAAGATACTTAAATGCATTATTGTCAATCCCATATTCAAGAATGAGGTTGCTTCGCCACTTTTTCCTCTTTCAATCTTCTCGTCGAATCTATATCAGTTAAATTTGAGTGGCTTTGGATATCCGTGGGAAGAAATGAAAAAGATTTCTTCGTTGCCAAAACTTGAGGTGCTCAACTTACGATGCTACGCCTTTCGAGGCCCGAAGTGGGAAGTTGACCGTCGCGAATTTCCGAATCTTCGATTTCTGTTGATTGAAGACACTGATCTAGTACATTGGACAACCGACGATGATTACTGCCTCAAAGAGCTCATGTATATGAAGATGAAACATTGCTACAAACTAAAAGAGATCCCTCGGAAATTCGGTTTGTCGGTTCAAAAGATTGAACTAATTGAGTGCAACCCTCTGGCTGAAGTATTTATTGACGGCGGTTATTCTGAATCTTCTTTCATAAGGGAATGATCATGGGAACATGTTGGTTAGTCATTCAAATGTAAATGTATTTCCTATGGTTTACCAATTTTGTCTTAAATAATGGATTTTTATGCAGAGAAAACAAAATATCTGAGAATTTTTTTTGCAATAAAATGATGACAGATGGATTAAGTTTATTTGATGGGTAAAATCCTAAAACGCTCATGTGTTAAGGAAAATTTGTTTAATTATATGCTACACCCAGCTGATACCATGTTGATTTGCATAAATTCAGATAGAAGAATCCATGGATTCTTAGAGAGGGAGGAGAGAATTTCTGGAGAGAGAAAATAACCCTTGTATTCAATTGGGGAAAACTAATAGGACAAAATGCACTTCACCCCTACAAATTTCCCATTTTCGCATTTTTCCACAAAAAATAAAAAAATGGGATAGACTTAAATATTATTTTGGTTGCACTTTGCCCCATAAGCCAATTTTTAGTGGGCATTGTGCAACAAAAATAACAATTTAAAGGGGCAATGTGCAAAAATATAATATTTTAAGGGGTAACGTGTAACAAAAATAACATATAAAAGGGGCCACATGCAACAAATATACTAAATTAAGATGAATAATCCATCAAAAAAATTCTATGTGGGTAATGCGCAACAAGAATAACATTTTGAAGGAGACATTCACTTTTTAAAATTTTGAGGGGGTAAAGTGCAAAAAATAGAAATTTTTAGGGGGTGGTGTGCAATTTTCCCTAAAATTAATTAACCAACCATTTAAACAGAAGAATGGACATAGACTTTAGGAAAATTTCTATCTTTTTTCCGCTCCTCCTCTTGCATTTGCTTTACACAAGCCACAGTTAAAGCGTTACAGTCAACCAACTCAATACTTAGCCGAATATATAAATCCCTAGGAATCTCTTCTAGTTTTTGGCAGTTTTTCAAAGTTAAGTGCCCAAGACATCGAAACGTCTTAAATCCGGCCGTCCATTCAACCAGATCAGAGTCTTCAATTAAAAGTACCTCAAGCGATCGAAACGCCTTATCTTGAGTTTCCCATTTCGCCCCTCGAAAGGCATAGCGTCGCAGTTTCAGCACTTTAAGACTCCACAATGAAGCAATCTTGCTTATATCTTCCCACGGATATCCAAACCCACTCAAACTCAACTTCAAAAGACTCGAATATATTTTAGTGCAAAGAGGAGCTGGTGGAACAACAACCTCAGACATCGCATTTGACTGATCTTATATGCCGTTTAGAAACAACATCAAACCAGTTTAATGATTTAGCATCGTGATCATGCTCCAAATCGAGTCGAATTCCTAACTTCGCTAAACGAGGGATTCTTTCAAGAATCTCCTTTGTACACCAATGGGGCATTACATCTAAAAGTGTGGAGAGATTTGGCAAGATAGGGCCACAAGGATCTTCTGGTAGATTGCTTCCTGTGATCTGAAGATGCTTTAGTTCTTGCATATTCCATACCTCCTTCAGCAAATACGACGAATTTAGACAGAATTAGTGATGTTTAAATGTCGAAGGATGATAAGGTTACAAAGTTTGGATACGGAAGGAGGAATATTTATATTTCCGTCATAAGTCAGGGCAAGTAACATTAGTTGACTAGTATGTACTTCAATGTCACTGACGGCAGGCTAGTCTCACTCAATCTGGGGTTAAACTTTTTT